GTGGCTCTGCCAAGGTCTGGTGTGGCTCTGCCAGGGTGCGTCCTGGCCTTGGTGAGGTGTGACATGGCTGTGCCATGGTGCGACGTGGCTGTGCCAGGGTGTGGCCTGGCTTTGGTGAGGTGTGATGCAGCTGTTCCATGGTGCGACTTGGCTGTGCCATGGTGTGATGTGGCTGTGCCATGGTGTGACCTGTCCCTGCTGTGGTGTGACCTCTCCTTGGTGTCACCTGTTGTGGTTTGACGTGGCTGTGCCTGGTTTGATGTGGCTCTGTTCATGGAGAGAGGGGCACGGTGCCCATGTGGTGCTGCCGAGGCTGAGCCCTCCCTGGGCACCCCGTGGCTGTGAGGTTGCTCGGGTGTGAGATGGACAGAGCTGCTCTGGGGCTGCTCTGGTTCCAGTGGTGGATCCCTGGGATGGCCATGCTGGCGCTGGGCTGGCTGCAGTGTCGCGGTGTCAGTGTCACGGTGGCTCAGTGACTTGGTTTGGTGGCCGTGGTCATGCTGGCTTGGCTCCGGCCTTGGAGACGCGTTGAGCTTGGAGCGGTCTCTGGCTGTCTGTGGTACAGCCCCGTGCTGGAGGGCACAGGGGGCTCGGTGGGGATGGTGCTGCTGGGTCAGAAACGGATGGTGCTACTGGTTTGGATGTTGCTCCAAGGTTGGAACTGTCTGGTTAGAACCAGACAGTGCTGCTAGGTCAGAACTGGATGGTGCTGCCGGGTCGGAACTGGATGGTGCTGCTAGGTTGGAACCAGACAGTGCTGACAGGGTCAGAACCAAATGGTGCTGCTGGGCTGGAACCAGACAGTGCTGCTCTTGTTTAGAACCAGACAGTGCTGCTGGGTTGGAGCTCCTGCTGGGTCAGAACTGGACAGTGCTGCTGGGTTAGAACTGGATGGTGCTGCTGGGTCAGAACCAGTGCTCCAAGGTTGGAACATCCGGAGTTGACTGGGCAGATCCGGCACTGTGGTGCTGTGGGGAGCATCCTTTAGGGATGGCTCTGTGCCCATGGAGGCTGTACAGTGCAGACAGAGGTGTGCATGGTCAGCGCGGGTCGGCGGAGTTGTGCATGCTGTGGAAGGACACACCTGTGTCCAGCTCGGACCCCAGTCCGTGGCCTGGAGCAATGGACAGCAGCGGGGCTGTCCGGGGGCAGCGGGGACCTGGTGCTGCCCTTGCCTGGTGCTGCCCGGCCCTGCCCGGCACCCGGCACAGTGTGGACTTGCCCGGGGGTGTCCGGTGGACACGCTGCTCAAGCTCTCCCTTCCCCTCTTCTCTCTGCCTCCCCAGGACCCCGGTTTTGCCAGCCAAGCCCTTATCAGCAAGAAGTTAAACGACTACCGGAAAGTGAGGTACGGACCGGGGTGGTGGGCACCGAGAGCCCCGGGGCGTTGGTCACCCTGGTGTGACGGAGCAAAGCCGGCAGCTCCCTGGATGGGGCAGTGATGGAAGAGCCGCCTGCGCCCGGCGTGGCCTGGGGTCAGCCAGAGTGGCACCTGGCACTTGTAATGAGGGTTGGAGCAGCCTGGTGCTGCCCAGGCTCTCTGTAGGATGCTGGGGAGCCTGGGAGTGGTGCTGGCAATGCTCACAGGGAGTTTTTGTGCCGGGCTGGTGCCCCTGGCTGTGCCCCACCTGAGCTCTCCCTGCTCTCCCTGCAGCCCTGCGGGTGCCAAGCCCGACTCGTCGCCCAAGGGCCCTCGTGGGCTGGGGATCCGAGCCGAGTTCCTGAAGCAGACGGGAACCAGCGCGCCCCGGTCCCCCCGGCAGGATGCAGCTGTCACGAAAGGTGCGTGGGACACCCCAGAACAACAAACCCGGGGTGCTTTGTGTCCCTCAGGGCTGCTGTGGTGCTCATCCCCACAGGGCTGCTCTTCCCATTTACCCCAAGTGATCCTGTGGGTTTTTCCCCCCACCCCAGATGAAAGCAGCTCCCAAAAAGCCCCGTGGGGCATCAACATCATGAAGAAGAACAAGAAATCTGCCCCGCGTGCCTTTGGCGTGAGGCTGGAGGATTGTCAGCCTGCCCCGGACAACAAGGTAGGGCTGTGCCACCACTGCCAGCCCTCGGGGACTCTGCACAGGCCTGGCACACCCTGAGCCCGTCCCTGTCCCTGCAGAACGTGCCCCTGATCGTGGAAGCGTGCTGCAAGGTGGTGGAGGACCGGGGGCTGGAGTACATGGGCATCTACCGCGTGCCCGGCAACAACGCGGTGGTGTCCAGCCTGCAGGAGCAGCTCAACAAGGGAGCCACCGAGATCAACCTGCAGGACGAGGTGAGGGCAGGGCAGGTGACTGTCCCCATGCCTGACCCCATCCTGCTCCCCATCCCTATCATGCCTCTGGAATGCTCTCCTGCTCTGTGTCATCATCTCTGTCCCCATCATCATCCCTGTCCTTGTTATCATCCATGTTTCTGTCATCATCCTTGTCCCATCATCAATTCTGTCCCCATCAACATCCTTGTCCCCACCATCCCTGTCCTCATCATGCCTGTCCCCATCATCATCCCTGTCCTTGTTATCATCCATGTTCCTGTCATCACCCCTGTGTCCCCATCAACATCCTTGTCCCTGTCATCATCCTGTCCCATCATCCCTGTCTCTGGCATCATCCTTATCCCCATCATTATCATTCTTTCTGTCATCATCCTTGCCCCCATTATCCCAGTCCCGTCAGTATCTACCCTGTCCCCATCATCATCACTGTCTCCATTATCCTTGTCCCCATCATTCCTGTCCGGTTATCCCTATCCCACCATCCCTGTCCCCATCATCCCTGTCCCCGTTATCCCTGTCCCCATTGTCCCTGTCCCATCATCCCTGTCCCCATTATCTCTGTCCCATTATCCCTGTCCCCGTTATCCCTGTCCCATTGTCCCTGTCCCCGTTATCCCTGTCCCCATTATCCCTGTCCCCACTGTCCTTGTCCCACCATCCCTGTCCCCACTGTCCCTGTCCCATCATCCCTGTCCCCGTTATCCCTGTCCCCATTATCCCTGTCCCCACTGTCCTTGTCCCACCATCCCTGTCCCATTGTCCCTGTCGCCTCCATTCCAGTTTCCATCCCCTGGAGTGGTGGCGCCGCCTAGCGGTCGCTGCCAGCGCTGCCGGTGACATCCTGGGGACGCTTCTGTCGCCGGGGCTGTGCCTGGTTTGGGGACTTCATCCCGCTGTCCCCTCGGTGTCCCTGGCTGTCACTCTGAGCAGCCTCTTCTGTCCCTCGCAGCGGTGGCAGGACCTGAACGTCATCAGCAGCCTCCTGAAATCCTTCTTCCGAAAGCTGCCTGAGCCCCTCTTCACCGATGGTGAGTCCCTGTCCCCTGGGGCCGCCAGAGCCCCAAACCCCATCCCCCTGTGTTGGGGACAGGTCCCCAGACCCAGTGACACAGTCACCCATGTCAGGGGACAATGCAGGCCCCCTGTCACCAAGGCCACTTGTCCTTGTCCCTCCTTGCCCTGCAGTGGAACCAGCACTGAGACCCTTCCCCAGTATCTGCAGAGGGTTCATCCGGGGGTCCCTGACTGTGGGGGTGGTGGCCTGTCCCCTCCACCCTGCTCTGACACTCTCATGTGCCACTTTTAGATAAATACAATGACTTTATCGAAGCCAATCGGATCGAAGATGCCAGCGAGAGGATGAGGACGCTGCGGAAGCTGGTAGGGACATGGCACAGGGGCTTTGGTGGGGACACTGCCCTGGAGCTCCCCCTGGGTGGGGACAGCGGGCAGAGGGGTGACCCAGTATGTCCCCACAGATCCGGGACCTGCCGGGCCACTACTATGAGACACTCAAATTCCTGGTGGGTCACCTGAAGACCATCGCTGACCACTCGGAGAAGAACAAGGTACGGACCCCCCCTCCCTGGTAATCTCCTGCCCCACCTGGAGCCCCCCGGCCCGGGATGGGCTGCAGCTCTGAGCCGGCTCTGGGTGCAGATGGAGCCCCGGAACCTGGCGCTGGTGTTCGGCCCCACGCTGGTGCGAACATCCGAGGACAACATGACCGACATGGTGACACACATGCCTGACCGCTATAAGATCGTGGAGACCCTCATCCAGCACGTGAGTGGAACCCCTGGCTGGGCAGGGGGGCGGGATCTGCACCCCAAAAATGGGGATGGAGCTCCTGACCCCTCCCCTGTCTCCCCACAGTCAGACTGGTTCTTCAGTGACAAGGAGGACAAGGGTGAGAAGGTGAGTCCTGTCCCCGCTCGGGGGGTCTCCAGTGGCTCAGGGGGGTGCAGATCCCCAGGTGCGAGCTGGGGGGCTCTTGGGAGTGCCCTGATCCCTGTTTTGCCCCTGCAGACCCCCGTGGATGAGAAGGAGGCTCAGTCTGTGCCCAACATCGAGTACCTGCTGCCCAACATCGGCAGGACGGCAGCACCCGGTGATGCCGCAGGTGAGGGGTGGCACCTGTGACATTGTCCCCTGCACTCCTGGCACCCCAGAGTGCCCCTCCCTACTCTCTGTGCCCCTCTGCCCACATCTGTGGGCACAGCCATGGCCAATCTGTGTGTGCTGGATGGGACATCCCTTCTCCCTCCTCTCCAAAATTGGGAACAGCCCTGGGATGCCCGAGGAGCCCCTGCCCACCCTGTCCCGTCCCCCTTCTCTCCGGTGGCCACTCCTTGTCCCTCAGGGCAGCGCCCACCCCACGGGACCCCCGCCCCTGCCCGCGCTGCCACACCTAGAGATGGGAGCCTTTGACGTTGGACTGATTTCTTACGTTCTTTCCTTGAACTTCTCTGTGCTGTCCTCTTCCTCCTCCTCCTCCTCTTCCTCCTCCAGAGGATCTCCTCGAGAGCTAGAGCGGGTACAGTCTGATCCCGGGTGCATTGCTCACGCACTAACCCTTGGCGGGACACGAGAGAGGGGGAGCAGGGGGACACCGGGAGGGGAGGGGACGCTGTCCTGCCTGGCACTGTCCCCAGGGTCCCCAACACCGGCAGGGGAGCTCCAAATCCTTCTCACTCTGCTTCTCCCTGGCCAGTGCCTGTGGTGGCACCCCACTGCAGGGATGGGTGTGGGGTGTCCCAGAGCCCTCAGATTGTGGGGTGTGGGGGTCCCAATGCCCTGGGAGGGTCAGCACCCCCTTTCTGCCTCCCCCTCTCTCGTTGTCAGCACTGCTAACCCCATCCCGGGCATGCGGGGCGGGAGAAGCGTCTGTGTCCTGTCCTTGTCCCTTACACGGCGGCAGCAGGGCCAGGGCTGCCTGTCCTCTCTGTGTCCCCTCTGTGCCCCTTCTGTGTCCCCTCTTTACCCGTAACCCCCCGGCCTGTCCCAGCCCCTCTCTGAGGCTGGCTGTGCCCTGTTCCTGTCCCCTCTGTGCCCCGTGGCCATGGGAGGGTTGGGGTCCCACTATGGGGGTCCTGGCTGTGTGTCCTGGCTGTGTGTGCCTGCGTGTGTCCCCTTTGTCCCCACTCCTCACCCTGGGTGAGGCGACCAATGCCAGGGACCCCCCTGACCACCGGAGCCCCTTGTGGCGCGTCCAGCCGGTGTGACAGCCCCAGCATGTCCCCATCCTGG